TCAGGGGAGGAGACCCCATGGACAGGAGCCCCTCCAGCTCAGGGGAGGAGACCCCATGGACAGGAGCTTCTCCAGCTCAGGGGAGGAGACCCCATGGACAGGAGCCCCTGCAGCTCAGTGTAGGAGACCCCATGGACAGGAGCCCCTCCAGCTTAGTGTAGGAGACCCCATGGACAGGAGCCCCTCCAGGATCAGGGGATGATCCCCATGGACAGGAGCCCCCACCCCAGGCTCAGGACACAGCTTGTCCTGTGTATTCTGCATGCCCCAGTAGCGTCCACTCAAGGCAGCAGGTCTGGCCTTTCAGGCACTCAGATGTGGGGGCTTGCTGGTCCCCTATGGTGGAGGTGGGGCTGGGACCAGGTGCCACCCTGGGGTAATGACCCCTGGATGCAGACCCCTGGATGGGCCAAGTAGGCACCCCACACAGAGTGTTCCTCAAAGGGGAGGGGGCTGGGGAAATTGGGGCCCCAGCTCTGAGGACCCCACACTAGTCTGGCCCAGAGATAGCCCTCTGCCCTATCCTGGGGCCACCAAGCTCCTTCCTCCTCCCTCCACAGCCGTCAAGAATGTGCCTGCCCAGGGCGGCAAAAATAGCAGCTGACACCTTCCTGCGGCAGGCGAGACCCTGTCTCCTTCTCAGGCACGTCTCCTTGTCCTCACGGCCTTCATCTCCTCCCATGGCCATTCCTATACTTGGTAAGGGGACTGCCTGGGCACACCCTGCCCCCCTTGCCCTGGCTGCCCAGCTGCTGGCCAATGGGCTGCTGGGAAAGCTCAAATGCCGCTATAACACGAGGGTGCAGCCGGGAGGCAGTGCCTGTGCTGGACCTGTCCACAGGGAGTTCTCGTCCTTCTCAGGCGTGACCACAGGTGGGTGCAGCAGTGAGCAGCTCTCTTAGGAGGGCTCAGAGCCTCCTGCTTCGGGACGGGGCCCCTGGCATCCAAGGAGACACTAGTCCTGGGGGCTGAGGTCCTTGGCCAGCGAACTGCCCAGCCCCTCACCTGGAAGCATGGTGGCCAAGACCAGGCCGCCACCCAGCACCCGCCTGGGATTCTGACATGGTACCTGGGCGTTCTCTGAGCTTGGGATGGTGCGGGACACCTGGCTCCAACCCGGACCACAGGGTGGAGGTGGGGAGGGTCCCCAGGAGCTATGAGGTGAGGGGCCAATCAGAGCAGGGACCGAGAGGAGAGGGTGAGGGAGGAAGCGCACGGAGCAGCTGTGACGCAGCTGCCTCGGGCCATCTGGGCTTTCTGTGCGTGGCCCATGGAGAAGCACAGTGCGTCCCCAGGATCCCTGGGGCCCCCTGCCTTGAATGGCCCCCGCCCGACACTGCCACTTTGTATAGGTGACAGCAGGGCCAGGAGCTGTCTCGGGTCACCCCAAGGAGGAATCCCCAGGGAGAAGCCCTAGGCTGCTCTCCGAAGCCCGGGTCAGGAACACCCAGGGGCTGGGCTCCAGGCAGGGGCTGGACACTCCTGCCTCCTCCTTGGGTGGGAGGAGCAGTTTCTCCCCAGAGACCCCTGCCCACCCTCCTTGGCCGCCACCCTTGAAATCCCTTGGCCAGGTACCCTGGCCCACCAGGTCCTTTGGAGATTTCTGGAGGTTCTTGGGCATCCAGGATGAGAGGGGGCCAGGTGAGGCTGGCCACAAGGAAGCAGGGCCCAAAGCAGGGCATGGGTGCAGTCCTACTGCAAGTGACTGGCAGAGCTCCTGCCCCTCCTCCTTGGCCCTTGTCACCTTCTTAGGAGGGAAAGATGGCATGTGGCCCCAAGGAACTTGACCTGACAGGCTATTTTCATACCCTGCTCTGAGATGGAACATGAAACTGGACAACTGGTCCCCCCTCAGCTGTTGCCATGCCGTCCCCGTCCCTAGCACCTCCACCTCACTCTCCCCAACCCACAGGGAATGTGACCCAGACCGTGAGAGGGCACCAAGGAGCCCTGAGGAGGGGCAGGAGCCTCAGTTTCCCCACTGGTGGAGTGGACCCCTGCTGGGCTCTTGGAGGAGACTGGAGATGAGGAGGCTGGCCCCTGGCCCGCCCCGCCCCCCGCCCATCTTGGGTTTCTGGGCAGAGGCGTCTTGCTGATTTTGGTGTCTATTTCTGGACACTTCAGCTGTCACTGCTCCTTGTACATGACTCCCTGGGTGTGGTCACTGCCCCCTCTGTCGGCATGACAGGTGTTGACCCTACTGGGTCAGAGGTGGCCACAGAAGGGCACGACCTCTACAGCCCCTCCCCAGGGAGTGGCACTCGGGGGGGGGTGGCGGGGTTAGGGCCTGGACCTGAGGGGTGGGCAGCCTCCAAGGGTGAGGAGAAGCAGAGAGTCACCACCCCAGAGGCCTTACCCTGGAGGTCCCAGAGAGTCTGGGCAGGGGTCTGGGAGGACCTGGGCGGCACCCAGGGCCTGGACGAGGATTCTGAAGACACAGCTGATTGTGCACGGAGCTGGAGTGGCTCTGGGAACGCCGTGTTCCCCACAGGGGGCTTGGGAATGGCTCCCGTCTTAGTGGCGGGCTGCAGATGCCAGTCCACAGATGTGCGGCGCCTTCTTAGGGAAGTTCCCTGGGGACCGTGACTGCCCGCTTCCAGTCGGCTCTGACATGCTGTGGAGAGTCTGGTTTCTCAGACCCCAGGGCCCACCTTCTGCTCAGAGTGACCCCAGGCCACCATGGGGGGTGTGGCGGCCAGTTCTTGCAGCCCAGGGAGCCCAGGGACTGTGTGTCTCCACCTCCTAAAGAAGAGGGAAGACGGAGACAGGCCACGTGTGCTCTGATTTGGAGGAGGGGGTCCTCAGGGGCTTGAGGCGCCCTGTAGAGAAGCTTCTTCCTCCAGGAGGACATGTGGCCTGGAAGTCCCCCTGGGAAGAGGGACTCTCATGGGGGACAGTGGAGTTGACAAGCTAGAGAAGATCCCTATTACCCAGCTCAGCCATCTTGGGGCTTCCAGGGAGGCCCCCAGCCTGGGCAGTAGCAGAGGCCACCAAGAAGCAGGTCCTAATCCAATCAGCCAGACTTCCAGGGTCTTGGGCAGCCTGTTCTGCATTCCTGGTGACATTCTTCGGGGTTGGGGGGGGGTGGACGCCATGACCTTCCAGAGTCCCAACCGGCTCCTGGATTCCTAGCTCCAGGCTGGATCCAGGGCAGGAAGGAGCAGGTCCCGGGGCTGTGTGTGAGGACCAAGGGCTGCTCCAACCCCATCCGCAGGAGTCCCCTCTCCATCCCAGCTCTGAGAACCCCCTGCTCCCGAACCAGGGCCGTCCCTAACTCTCCCCCTCCCCCCCCAGAAACAGCCCACCTCCACCATGTCTGACGAGGAAGTGTGAGTACTGCTGCCCGCTGCCCACCGCCCGCTGCTGCCAGCTGCCTGCCCAGTGGGGTGTGGGGCTGGGCTTCAGCATCGGGCTGGCTCTGCCGTCCACCTCACCTCCCTTTCTCTCTCCCCCTCTCCCTCCCCGGCCTCTGCAGTGAACAGGTTGAGGGTGAGTATCAGCTATTTCTCTCTCTTCTACCTCTAGACGGAAAAGTCTCCACTGGGGAGGGGGGTCACCATGGATGCCACCTGTCCTCTGGGAACCCTGGGCCTGAAAGTCCCAGATCTCTGTGTGGTGGTCTTCAGGCCCCTCTGGAAGTGGCCCTGCATCCTGGCCTTCCCCGGCCTCTAAGAGGTGGCCACACCTCAGCCTGTCCGCCTACCGGGGAGCTGCCTGGGGGCTGTGTGGCCCTTAGGACTCCACTGCCAGGCAGGCTGCTCTGGCCCTGAGGAACCCTGACCCTCATCCCTGGCCAGCAGAAGCGGCTGGACCTCAGGGACCGGGCAGCTGGCCCCTGCTAACATGGCTCCTCTCTTTTGTTCTCTTCCAATGCAGAGCAGTACGAGGAGGAAGGTAACTCAGGCAGCCCTGAGGCCCTGGGCCCCCCCAGACCTTCCTCTTAACAGAGCCCTCTCCACCTGGACCTTGGGTCCTCCTCAGCTCATCCATTAACTGTCCATCTTCCTCACCGTTAACCACTAGCATTAATCATTAACTTGTTTAATGATTAATGTGTCACCTCGTTAATGGTTAATGACTTCCTCATTAATCAAGTCATCATTAACTTGCCATCACTCCAATCCATTAATGGACACTCATTAATCGCTCACCCCTGCCTGGTGCTGGTCTGTCCCCAGAGTGTGGAGTTTCATCTGATCATTAAAACTCTCACCCATTAATATCAGGGCCGGGGCACACAGCCGCCATCTCTCAGCTCCTCCCTGTGTCTCTGTCTGTCATCTCTCAGTCTCTCTCTGTCCTGTTGTTTCTGACTCCCTGTCTCTGTGTCTCTCTGTCTCTCAGCATCTGTCCCTGTCTCTCAATCTCTCTCTGTCTCTCAGCATCTCTCCATACCACCCCCCACCCCTGCACCCTGGGGCGTACTCAGAGCACCTCCCTGGATCTGTCGCGCCCGGGCAGGCGTGGGCGGGTGGGGATCACTGGGCGCGGGCGCACCTGGGAGCGGTGGGCCGTGGCAGTTCCCAGGCGGGACGGGCGCTGCTCAGGATCCTGGCTCCCACTCAACTGGGGGCGGCTTTCACCGCAGCTTTATCCGGCGAGGTCTTCTGGCTGTTATGTTTTGAAAATATTTTGAAAACATTCGCTACCTTAACAACGTCAGCAAAATGTTTCTTTTTCTGCCGAAAAGGTGGCCAGGCTCCTTTCTGAGTGGGAAAGAGGCCCTGGGTGCTGGCCGTCCCCTGGGGAAGCCACAGAAGGGTCTCAGGCCGAGCTTTCCTCCAGGCACCCCCGAGACAGGGACCTTCCCTGTCAAACACACCAGGTTCCTCAAAGCACAGAGGTCACGATCCGCAGGACCCTCTGTCCCCCACAAAGCACGACACAGGCAGGGCCTCTCTGTGCACCCACAGCTCCCGGGACACATGAAGGCCAGGTCCGAGCGGGGAGTGGAGGGTGTGACGGCCCCTGCAGGGAGGCCCAGGCCCAAGCCCAGCCAGGCTGGACTGGGCAGGCTGAGTGTGCCTGAATGTCTTGGGAGGCCCTGTAGACCCCCCACTCAGGCCACCTCCTGTCCCCCCGGCCACATCCTCTAACGACGGTCCTGTTCCTTCCTTCCCTGCTCGTTCCTGCTCTCGGCTTCTCTCCCCTCAGAAGAGGCCCAGGAGGAGGAAGGTGAGTGGGTCCAGGGCCCAGCTCCCGCCAGTCCTCCTGCCCACTGTCCTCCCCCGCACAGTGGCCCTGTGTGCTTGCCTCCCGCTGGGTCCGACCCTGGCCCCCCCCTCTAAGGACCCGGGGACCTCCTGTCTAATCCTGTCCTCTCTCCCCCCTGCCACCCTGCACGCCCTGGCACCCCTCCGCAGCAGAAGTCCAGGAGGAAGGTAGGAGCCCACGGACTTCTGGTCCCCATGTGGGGCCCGGGGCCTGGCTGGAGCCCAGGGTGGGGAGAAGGGGAGGCCATGAGGCGCCAGCCAGCCCAGGGGCCCCACATGTGGCCCCCAGTAACCCACTAACCCAGGCTGATGCTTGACAGAGAGGGTGCAGGACCCCAGTGGGCCCCAGAGGTGGCCTAGGCCCCCCGAGTCCCTGCTGTTGGGGACCATGTGCCACTCAGCTGGGAGTAGCTGGTGTGAGGATCGGGGGAGATGGGGCCAGGGAACTGAGAGTCCCCAGGGTGGCAGCCTCTGACCCCGCAGCCAGACCAGGACATGAAGCCACATCTCAGGATAGCTCAAGTGTCGGGAGAGGCCCTGTGGCCTGGCAGGTGCCTTCATCCCAGCCTTTCTTGGGGTCTGCATCTGGCTGTTAGGACGGCGGTAGGCAGGGCACCCAGGTGTGCACCTATCCCTGGGGCCTGCGTCCCTGGGCTGCAGCCCCTTCGCAGGTCCCTGGAACCACTACCAGGTTGCAGGCCTGGACACTCTAGAGGTGGTAGGGAAAAAAGGGGAGCCCACCATGGCAGCTCCCTGGGACAGACAGCATGGAGTGACCAGGACAAGACCTGGCCTGCGTCCCCAACGCCCCTGCCTCAGTTTCCCTGATTTTGAGACAGGTCAGGCTGAGGGTGGGCCACAGGAGCTGGGGGAAGCAGGGCTGGAGGGGACAGCACCCAGGCTAACTCCGATCCATGTCTTGCTCACCCTGCACGTCCCCTCCCCGTGGCCTTGGTGACGGGTGTTTCCACTTAACCTCGGATCCCTCTCCTTTGGCTCTGACCCGCGGTTTGCCTCTTGCTCTGTGGCCTCCTTAGCCCCTGAAGTTCATGAACCAGGTATGTGACATGACTTCAGAGCCACATGGCCGGTGTGAGTGTGTGCAGGAGCAGGGCCAGAAGGGACAAGAGGCTGCCGGCCCCGCACCCAGTCCTGCGGTTGGCGGCTCTGCCAAATCCCCCCTCCACTCACGGTGTCTCTCCTCCTTCTCTCCCCAACTCGGTGCTGCCTGACGCTGCTTCCAGAGGAGGTCCAGGAAGGTAGGCCTTGCACTGCAGCCAACCAGAGCTGCCCCTTCCTCCTCTGTCCCCTGGTCCCCTGTGCCCCACCACACTTCCAAGTCCCCCACCTTGGACTGAGCCTCAGGCCTCTAACTGAAGTCTGACTCAGGTGGGACTAGAGACAGGTGAAGCTCCCCCTGTCCATCTGGCAGAGGGTTTAGGGGCAGGGACTGTGAAGCAGATCTTGGGAGGAGGGTGCTGGGGTCCACTGGGACCCTCTGGATTCATCAGGTGGAAGAGAGAAGAGCAGAGAGGAGGGGTAGGGTGGATGGCCTCCGCCCTGCCACAGATAGGAAGCCAGCGAAGTCAAGTCAGGAGGCGGTGAGGTGGCAGGGAGGGTGGAAGGGCAAGTGGGGTGAAGCAGAACAGCAGGCTGAGGCCCAAGGTGGGGACGTCAGGGAGCTGGAACAGCCGGGGGCCGTGCGTGCAAATGAGCCATCAGTCAGGTCCCAGCATCCCACCCTTGCTGGGCCAGGGCCAGACACACCCGGGCAGAGGCAGGCAAGAGGGGACCTGGGGGCCTGCCCTCCCGCAGCAGGCTGCTGTGCTGGGCGGAGTGCAGATCCAGGCCAGGGGCGCTGCTCGGGAGCTTCTCTCCAATCACATGCTGCCTCGGTGGGCCGCGGGCCTTCCCGCCGAGCCTGGGACCCCCACTCCAGCCCTGCCTGCCCAGAGAGGTCACCCAGACATGGAAGGAGAGGGACTGGGGGTGGACTCCCAGGCCACACAGGAAAATGGTGTCCAGGAGCCAGTCTAGTGGGCGATAAGGTCACCAGGCCATCCTGGGACCAGCCCTGAGGCCCCGGATGGACACACAGGAGGGAGGGAGTCGGAGGGGCAGGCAGGCGGTGCCACACAGGAGACCCCATGGGCACCCGGGCATCGGGAAAGGGCGGCACGAGGCCCAGCTGCAAGTCAAGGCCACACTGCAGGGTCCACCACCTGCATTGTCCCCGGGCAACTGCATGGTCATGAGCCAGAGCACACGCTGCAGACCCCAGCAAGCACAGGCGCTGTCCAGGGTCAGCGGGCAGGACCCCCACCTGCCTCAGATGGGGATAGCTTCTGGCCAAGGGCAGGGCATGGCTGCTGGCCCAAGATGCCTTCTCAGCAGGTCCTGCTTGGCCTGGCAGAGGCAGGGCAGGCAGAGGGCACTGCAGGGCCCTGAGCTGATCTGCAGACCCCTGTGTACCAGGCCAGGCTGGGCCTAGGGGTCGACACCCACAAAGAAAGCAGCCCCCACTAGCTGGGGGTGGCTACTTAGTTGAGGCTCAGGGGCCGTGGCCTGGGGGACAGGCCATCTTCTCGAGGCAGAACCTAGAGGTAGCTCAGGGAGAGGAAGGGGTGGGTATCCCAGAGAGGCCGACCCAGGCGCCAGGGGAGAAGCACGGCTCCCATGGGCCAGGAGGCCGCTGCCCTGGGTGAGAGAGCCCTCGGGGCACTGTGGGGGCTGCGGAGGATCTTGACACGGTGGGGGGGGCAGGACTGCAGGGTTAGGGGTGGACAACAGGAGAGGCTTGCACCCTCGTGGGCTCAGAGTCAGCGTGAGGGTTCCTTGACCCGCTGGCTTTCAGCCCAGCAAAACTGACCTTGCAGACAGAGGGGCTCTGGAACTGCCCAGGGTCAAAAGGCTGTGCCCAGCCCAGCCCCAGACTGAGAGGGTTGGAGGAGAGCCTGGGCCTCCCGGGTCTCCACAGCACCCAGCTCTCTCCCTGCCCTGGAGAGCGATGCTCGGGCTGCAGCTGGGTGCCCATGGGGGGCCTGGGCACAGCCCGCCCCCTCCTGCTGCCTGCTGGCCTCGCCCAGTGCTGCCCCACACCAGTGCCCTGGCCCTTCTCTTGCATGTGTGCTTAGCCAATCCACGGAGACGCCACAGAGGAGCGGGAGGAGGAGGAAGGTGAAGGACCGCAGCTCCTGCTGCACCCCCTTCACAAGGTCCTGGGGACCCTGCCCTCTGGCTCTGCCGTCCTCCTCCCGCCTGTCTACCTGTCCGCCTGTGCTCTTGGCACCACACGCCGAGGCCCTGAGCCAAGGGCCTCTCTGCTTTGCACAGTGACGGCCGTAGGGCTTGGGTGCCGGGTGAGCTTCTGCCTGCTGAGGTGGGCAGTGGGTGGGACCAGCGCAGACCAGCCGCTCCCAGGCTCCCAGCTCCCTCCTCCAGTCCTCCACCTGTCTGGCCTCTTCCCTCCCTGGCCTCTGACCCTTAGCAGCAGCTCCTCCCTCTCTCTTCACCCTGCACTTCAGCCCTTCTCAGAGCCCCAGGGACCTGGAGTCGGGGGCCGAGGGGTGGGCTCAGCTGGAGAGGCAGGTGGCCCCCACAGGCCAGAGCAGAGGAAGACCCCACCTTGGTGGTCTCTGTGGGCAGGAGGCAGCCACCCCTCTCACCTGTCTCTCTCTCTCCCCCTCTCCCCACACTGGTGCCGTGGTGACCAGAGAGGAAGCCAAGACCCCAGTGAGTATGGCGTCCGCTGGGCTGGGATGGTCAGTGGTTATGGCCCCGGGTGGGAGGCCTGGGTCTGCACTGGAGGAAAAGTCCAAGTGCTCACCACAGGGACCGACAGGAAGCACAGGAGGGTGTGACGCTGCAGGCCACGGGGGAAGAAAGGCAAAACGGAGCTCAGGCTGCCCCCCAGCCTTGCTGTGCCCGGCTCTGCTGAGGGGTCTCCCAGGGCCCAGATGGAAAAGCAGACATGGAGTGGTGTGGTGGGATGTGGAAGGAAGGGCTTCGCCACATCAGATGGACCATGTCCACACCAGCTTGCTGCCTGGGCGCTCTTATGCAGGCCTCTCGGGAACCCTGCTTTTAGGGAGGGTCTTGCCCTCCTTTCACAAGATTAAAAAAAAAAAATCCAACCCTGACTTCCTGGCTTTGGTGGA